CTCTCTCTCTGTGTGTGTGTGTGTGTGTGTGTGTGTGTGTGCGTGTGTGTCTTAGAGCGTAATGGAAGGTAGGAAAGTGGAGCACATTTTGCAGGCACCAGGACACAAGTTGTGCGAGACTCGGTTCAGAGCCGTGTCAGCAATTGGTATCTGGACAAATATGTGAGGAACGTCTCTACACTGAAATGTCGAGGGTGTGGCCACAGAATCTTGTTTCTCCTGCTTTTTTAATGGCGGCTCTGTTGAGTGACGTCATTGCAACACCCTCCGCCAATTGGCTTTTTGGAGACTCTGTGAGAGTTGCAGCGTTGTCGTGAAGTTGCTTTCAGGAATGGACTCTTGAAAAAAAAACATCCTTTGCCTTGCCAGGGGGGTGTCTCTGTGTTTTTTTTTTTTTTTTTTTTTTTTTTTTTTTTTTTTTGGTAATCATCGGCAATTCATTGCTGCAGCGGTGCAGCAATCATGGAGTTTTTCAAATGGCGAATAGTGGAACAGGGCCCTTTCTACCCCTATATTGCCTCCACTGCCTAGCCATACAGCAGGCTAAATGAAACAAACTGGCAGTGCGAAAAAGAAGATTGTGAGCCATCATGGACGAAGATATCCGTAAATTGGTTGTCAATGATTTTTAGAGTCAGCGCCACATAACGCTGAATAAAAATAGTCACAGAAGAAAATGACCACCCTCCGACCCTCGTCCTTACAAAAGGGACATGATAAACTACATATTATTTCATCCAAATTGCATCGATGATCCATCCCAGCCCCTTCGGACTAACGTGCAGACCTTTGTGGCCGCTCCTCTTAGGAATGTCTGGACTCTGAAGCATCTATATAATATCCACTTGGGGAACTTGCAGGCTACCTTCTTCCCCCGAATACAACGTATGGTGATTATAGCTGTATTTGGTGTATCTTTCAGTCTAAATACAGCTATAATGACCGTACGTTGTATTCGGCGGAAGAAGGTGGTGCACTAAGTGTAGTAGTGTCCACTGGTTTGTGGACTCCAATGAAATGCATTGTGATGTCATTGTTGTGATCCTGTTTTGCAGAGTGTCATTATGTTCTGCATCAAGCTGAACTCCACATTCGTTTGTCACGGTTTGTGCATCCCGAATTTGCGAGGCCGCTGTGTGTTGATGTCGAAACACGTTCGATTTCAAAATTCAAACGAAATTCTGCTTTGCTCGCTGTGTGGTGACACTGATATGAGGCTCTTAAAGACTTACAGAGGCACACAACTGTTATCTAAGACCTTGTACTCTGAAAACAAGCAAAGAGAATTCTGACAATCTGAAGTCAAATTATATGATAATCGCCAATTGCTATGGTTCCAAGTAGTTGTTAAGCTAAGCCTAGTGAAAGATTTGGGCTACCTAGTCACTGTGTCCTAAACATCGCCTGAACATTACCATGGTTCTACAATTTCTACTATTGAGTACTAGTGAGTAGTACATTCAGCTGTAACAGAGAGAGGAGAGGTGTTGAGGGCCAGCCCTGCCACAAAGAGCGAGTGAGAAGCAAATTTAATGCTCAGAATGAGTTCAGCAGACCAGAACTCACGAGACAGGCGTAGAGTAAAAAGAAATATAGTGCCCATATTAATGCAATTATTGCGAAGATACCGCTATTCATGCAATTATTGCAAAGTCCCGAGTTCAAATTCCCATTTTCTTCAAGGTGGTCAGAATAGATTCAATACAAGTCCACCCCACTTCACCCTATGGCTTCTTTTTTTTTTTTCTCGGTCTAAAAGCTGTAATGTGACTTCCTGTGTGTGGACATTTAGACCCTCCTTCCACTTTCGATTGGCCTCTCAATTCCAGAGAAAAAAAAAAACAATTTCCAGTGCAGATTAAATGATTAAATGATACCCAGCTTAACGTTTGTGTAGTCCTGAGGTGTTGGTAAATAGATCCCTAGTGCAATATCAGGCCTTCATCTGATTACTGCCCATGCATTGTGGGATGCCCTTGTGCTTTACATTCAATTTCAAATTGTTCATAATTGAGACAAGCTTATATTACTCATTTGGCAAACTACTCAATTTAAGTGGCCCTTTATGCTAATCAAACTAGTCCGAAGGATTTACGCATTGCAAAGTCAGATCCTGGTACCAAGTCCAATTTTTTTTTGGTACCGTTGAGTCGGCGTCGACCCCATTTCCCTAGGTCGACGGCTGTGTAGATGTTTCTTGCAGGTACCCCTGAGTCCTGAGGATACCATAGGATAGGGTCTGTGGAGTTCTGTTGAAGTAGGTAGGACTGCGTACTCACGTAGTCAGATGCCCTGGCCATGACTGTCAACCCAGGTCAGTCAAGCTCACTCCCAGGAGAGTCCCATGACGTTTTGAATCATTGCTGAGTCAATGCTGACCGTGGCCAGGGGCCAGCGCTGCGAGGACCAACATCACGTATCCAATTTCAATTTGGAACTGCAATGAGTGAAGTCGCTGGCAACCTCAACAATTCACCGCTCGTGCTCGAAAGGGGCGGGGAGAGAGAGAGAGAGAAAGAGAGAGAGAGAGAGAGAGAGAGAGAGAGAGAGAGAGAGAGAGAGAGAGAGAGAGAGAGAGAGAGAGAGAGAGAGAGAGAGAGAGAGAGAGAGAGAGAGAGAGAGAGAGAGAGAGAGAGAGAGAGCTGTTTGATACTGGTGGGAGGCCATAGCCACATAACTTGCATGCATTGACCTGGCAGTGCTGGATACCTTTTTTCCCCCAGGTGTGCTCTGATTGTGTGGATTGTGCATGTTTAGTGTGAAGTTGTGAACTCTGAAACCTTGTGTGTTGCATGTGTGAGGACTCTGAAGAGTCAAGTGCGGTGTGAGTTGTGATCTTTAAGTGTGTGATTGAACTTCCCCTGAAATTGTATTATGAGATTCATAACAGGGTAATGATCCGAGAGAGGGGGCACTGTGATGTCGATCGGATTTATCCAAACGCACCATTGCAGCGGGGCTCCCCTCAGGGCCCTCACCAAGATAAATCCAACCTTTCAGAGGGTGCAGAGACATGCTGAAATGTCTGAAATGGATTTTGAGAAGCTCCCAAAGGTTTTGACCAAACCAGGTACACCGCTAGGATTCAGGACTGAGCCTCATACCATGGTAAGCACCTGTCAAAGAGTGAAAGGCACTGAAAGCATTGAAAGGTCATGAACGCAGAAACGAATGAAAATGAAAGCCACTGGAAGGTCATGAATGCAGAAACTAATGAAAATCTGTTTTCAAAACTGTTGGGTGATGAAGGCAAGAGAGAATTTGTTCTGACGCAGAGATTTACCTGATTGCTTTTGTATATCTTGATGAGGCAGAGGGATGATGCTAGAGTAAGGACTCTTGACTCTGGTTCTATTTCTTGGCACATTGGGCCTCCCTCCACTACTCCCCAACTTGAAATGCGCAAAATGAGAATGAATCTTCCACTAGAATACGGGAAGATACACCGCCGTATTTTTGTCTTTTGTGAATGCGGTGAGCAGTCAAGGCCCTGGACGGAGGCCCATCATGTCCTCCACGAGAGTAAAGCCTCACATGATGTGCTTATGTTATGGCTCTCGCTCCAAAACTCTCCACATGCACAGAAGACCAAAAAAATGGTGTTGTACTATGATTGATGTTCTTGCCGAAGCGCCGGAAGATATATAATTATCGTTTTGCACATTTGGTGAGTAGTGGAGCGAGGACCTATATCTACATGAATCTGCTGTTGTTGATTTTTTTTATTTTTATTTTATTTTTTTCCCCTACTGCTGCAGGTTCTTGTTGTGAAGCCTGTTGTAAAGGAGCAGCTGCAAGCAGAGGCAGGTCTGCCGGTACGGCCAGACGTAACATTGTTTGGGTTCATGGGACGGCTCCAGGAGCAGAAAGGGTTAGACATTCTGGCAGCTGCGATCCTGACATTCCTCCAAAAACAACAGCAGCAGGAGAAGACTGCTCAGTTCGTTTTGCTGGTCAGTACTAAGATTCTCTGTGCTTCTGGAATCAGTTCCAAATTCCAATTCTTGCCAAAATTGAATGCTTTTAATCTCTTTCACGATTGAACTCAGCACCGTACCTTCTCAGAATACTTAATTTCACTTCACTGTCAGAATAGTTATTAATCGCTTGCAGTTTCTTCTTCTTCTTCTTCTCTCTCTCTCTCTCTCTCTCTCTCTCTCTCTCTCTCTCTCTCTCTCTCTCTCTCTCTCTCTCTATATATATATATATATATATGAGTCGGTGAAACTCCGACGAAACAGTTTGTCACAGCCCCTCGTTTGTTGTCCTCTTCTCCCTCCCTCTCTGCCTACGGTTTACCGTAGGCAGTTCTATTTGTGATGATATATATATATATGATATAGCCCCTCGTTTGTTGTCCTCTTCTCCCTCCCTCTCTGCCTACGGTTTACCGGGCAGTTCTATTTGACGATATATATATATATATATTTTTTTTATTTTTGGACCGAACACAAAAATGGGCCGTGAGGTAGGCCTCGTTGGCCGCGGCCTGCTGACTTTCCCGGCTTCGGCGGCCGAATTGCCCGTGGCCTTGGCCACGGGTGTCACAAAGGTGGGGAGCACAAGGGCAGGTGCTAACCTTAAAAAAAAAATAAAAATGGTAATGGTCTATTCGAATACAAGAGTTTTTCTTCTCGAAATTTGACTAGGAAAGATACGCTTTGCATTCAAATACAAAGTGTACGCAGTCTATTTGAAGTGCCCTGCTATACAAGAAAAGTGGACCCACGCGATATTGGTTTAATGCTCAACTCAAGGACCATTGTCCATGGTATTCTGCATAGTTGTGCGGCTTGTGCCGTTGTCACTCCCATTCTGTTTTCTCAGCACTTGGCTGTGTGGCGGAATGAACGCGCTGAACATGTTACATGCGTTCACATTTGAACGCGCGATTTCAGATGCGCACGAGGCGCATTCAATCGCGTTCAAACGTGCCACATGCCACTTGGCGTGAAAAAATTGAACGTGCCCCTGCCATCGGCGCACGCGCTTGGAGGTCTACCGGGTGGGGCCACTGGGGGGACTCGTTCATCGATAAACAAAGCCGTGAAAAAACGAGATCCCCACCCCCCTACCCCCCC